AAAAAAAGAAGTAGAGGAGAATGGAGATGCTGAAGACAAGCATTCCCCCACCCCCAGATTTGCCTCCAATGACCTGCCTCTTCCCACAAGGCCCAGCTTCCTACCTGTACATCTAGCTCACCAATGGATGGACCCACTGATAGCACAGCTCCCATGTGGCCTAGTCACCCTCCACACACATGAGCCTCTCAAGGACCTTTTAGATCTAAACCACAACAGTATACATTGGAAATAAAGGACCTCAGGTAAGGTGGGTTTTAATATAGATCAGTGATAGCAAAGGATCATCAAATAGGTGAGACTTACGTCTGGCTCTCATTCACTCATGTATTCACTTGTTCAGTCACCAGATTAATACATCATTGTTGTTGTTCCTACATACCAACCACTGAACTTGGCACAGTTCCTGCAATTCAGCGAACTGCAGATTAGAAGAGTCAGACAAGCAAACAAAACATTGTAGTACAGTTTGGTCAGTTGAGGAACAGGTGGAATTTAATAGAGGGTGGTAAGGGGTGAGGAGGAGAAAGTTATATTTCAGGCAAAGGAAACAACATGATGATAGGTGTAAAATAATGTGTGGGGTCAAGGAAGTTTTCTTAGGAGTCAAGCCTCTTCTAACACATCTGAAAAACCCAATGTGCAGCAACACAGCCCTAAGGGGATCTTAGAGATACAGCCCTAAGAGATACCATTGTTCTCACATGTTAATCATAATATAAGGTAATTATCTTGGGTCATCCATAATCTGAGGTCTCTTGACCCTAGAAATCTAAAGAGGGGAAATTCATTACACACACATAACACACATATTTTCTTCTTCTTGGCTTCTCATCCACACATATGCTCTTCATGTCCCACTTCTTAGATAAAGCCATGAATCAATACAGTTTTGAGTTCTTTCAAAAGAACACATTTTCACAGAAGTACTGGAGAATATATAAGCTAAAAAAGAGAACAAAATAAAATACAAATAAACCTTCAAGTTCTAAACATTTGCATCTTCCAAGTATTTTCTTACTCACCCTGAAATTAGGAGATTTCCTCTCCAGCTGGTGCTTACTTAGCTCCAGCTGACCTGAGCCTCTCCTCCTTCTGTGGATCAGAGAACGTGCTGCTCAGTGTGGCCTCCATACCTAACTCGTGTGCTTGTCACAGTGGCCAAGAGAACAGAGGTCACATGGTCAGCAGCATCCACTCTCCTTAAAGGGTCTCAATCAGTTGAAGTTAAAGCACATTGTTTGGTTCTATTTCATGAAACCCCAGTGTTCAGGAGTGGCTCCTGATCCTGGCTACCTTTCTGGAACCCCAAATCAGTGAGGTAAGATAAATGGACTCTTCCAGGAGCCTGGCCAGCATGGATGGGTCATCCCACCTGTTCTTAACTTGCTGTTCTCTGATATGCAATTTATTCCTTTTCAAGCCAAAGATAGGGAAACACACTTGCCTCAAACGTTAGTGGAAGAAATAACAATAACAATAATAATAATAATAATAATAATAATAATAATAATTACATAGTCACACATAACTCAGAATTTCTAGGAGGCCACAAATTTCCACAAGATGGATTATCCCTAAAAACTGAAAATCAACCAAAATTCATTAACCTTAACATGTATTTATGTGAGGCTACTGGGCCTAGCTAAGTGCTTGAACCTATCCTTCCTGCCTCCCCTCGCCCAGTAAAGGCCTGTATCCCAGGAGGAACCCACTTTTCAATGTGAATGAATGTTTGTTTCAAAGACAAATGCTGAATAAACATATTGCAAAATGCAAATGATGGTGTGTTCTGGACTGTAGTTTTACTGTGTTTATTTCTTTGTCTTCTTTATACATTCTGCCTTCCTCAACTTGTAAAAAATTACTGCTGTGTTTATAGTCCCTCAAAAAGAATTTTAATCTTATGGAACAAAAGCAGCCACTGGCTGAGCAGTTCAGCCCTAGGATGCTGTTCCAGCTGGAAGGTGACCATATGGTTGCTTCATGGATAGAATGAGATTATAAAACCAGATCTTTTCATCTAACTTGCCATCTAGTGGGTTGTAATTTAATATGCAGAATTACCTGTTCTGTCCAATATCTCTCACCATCCCTGGAGACAGCGGAACAGATGTTCATTCTGTCATGTGGCTAATGAGAAACTAACATGTAAGACAAGAGCTGGAAATCTCCCTCCCGTCCCCTCCTCCAGGTCCTGCTTGGGGGCTGAGCCAGGAGTCAGCCTCTTCAGGACATTTTCCTGCCGGTCCCCAGTCTGAGTCTTTCCTGGCTCATACTGCCTTTGGTCCTCAATATCACTACTCTGAGAGTAGGAGGCCTACCTCTCTCATTCATCAGTAGATGTCCAGTGCCTAGCGAAAGTGCCTTACACACAGTGGGCCCCCAAGATATATACTACAAAACTTGTATAGATTTTTGGTTGCTTCTCAAAGGCTTTTAAGAAGACCCACCAGAACCCTAAGCAATCAATAATTGAAATATGTGCAAAAACACTTTGAAAATGATGAGGTTCTACTAAGAAACAAGGTCTTGTAATGATGCTGTGGTTTAGAAAGGGACTAATCTGCCTCTTCCTCCAACATCATTAGGTGTCAAGTTCATCCTTTACACAGCTGTTTACTAATGACAGGCAAGTTGGAAAGCACAATCATCAGTCCACATCTGTCACCCATTCAGAAAGTGTATGTCACCACTGGAAACTAAATGTTACTTTTGGTATTTTTAACAATTACATCAAAATGAATGCCTGCACAGCTAGCATAGTACCAGATAGTTGGGGGAGATGAGAAGAAATCCTCATGACTAAACCTGGAGTAGACTGGGAGCAGAAGGTCAAAGGGACAGAGAGTCTGGTTGGTGTAACAGGTGACATACAATGAAAAGACTTCAAAAAATTAACAAAGGGAGAAATGACACCTTAGAATACAGCAAAGTATGGCAGGAATCCAGATGAAGAAACCAAGGAACCTGGAGCAGAGAGTGTGTGTGAGCGCAGGGGTGTGTGTGTGTGTGTGTGTGCACTCGTGACTGAGGATTGAGTCCGGGGCCTTTAACTTAGGTACATCTCAGTCCTTTTTGATTTTGAGATAGGGTCTGAAGGTCACTAAGTTGTCTAGGCTGGGCTTGAACTGGTGGTTCTTCTGCCTCAGCCTCCCAGCGTGCTGAGGTTAGAGGTATGTGCCACTACATCCAGGCTGGAGTGGAGCTGTTGTCCCACTGGTCTTGAACGGATTCAAAGCTCATGAGTCTCTGTACACAGAGAGGGATAGGAATGATTTCCCCACCTTAGAGGACTCACCACAATTATTTTTTCATTATATTTATTTTAGTTTTTAAAAGAGAATTAAAATAGTAAAAAGAAAAACATTAGAAATTATACAGAATTTCACTGAAAAATGGTAGGAATTCAAATGTTACATTGCATACGTTGTCTTTAAATTAGTTGTTCAGATTACCAGATAGAAGCATGCAAAATGGTCAAAAAATTAAAAAG